AGCCAAAATTGACGTTGTTTTCATTTTTCTGGCAAATTATCGATGGGAGTGACGTGAAAAAATATAACGATTTTGTGGTTTGTCATTCTTTAATGGCTCACGAAGTTGCGTAGTGGTGCGATAATTTTCATGCGTTTTTTCTACAGTTTTGTGATTCTTTTTAAAAGTTTAGAGAAAACGCAGGAAAATGTTCGCACCACCTTAAAATTTCGTCAGTCATTAAATAATGACAAAACGCAAAAACGTTATATTTTTTCACGTCAATTCCATCATAAGTTTGCCAGAAAAATTAAAAAAACGTGAATTTTGGCAGAAAGGGTGTCGAACATCCTTAAGTGCTCAAAAAATTTCAAGAGTGATGTTATCTAATTAAGGGCTCCAATATTTAACTGTAATAAAATATTACAAATTTGGCTATCCCTGATTAGTTCCCCCTAGATCCTCTCATAATCAACTAACCGACCCACTCAATTCAAACAACCCACTCCTCTGAACACAGACGTATCGAAATCTCAAACTAAATTTCTCAGGACCTCCCAGCGTCCCCCAAAAATCCCGAAGACGCGAGAAGCATCCTGGAGCTCCCCCCCGAGGAAGACCCCCCCGAAGACCTCTCCGCCTTCCACTTCAGTAAGTTCGCAGCGACCTACTTCGCCTCCAACATCGCGCCGCAGTACTCCCGCCGCCCCCTAAAGCAGTCCCTGCTGGACCTCCCGCTGGCGTCCGACCAGCTGTCCTCCCAAGCGCTCTGGACCACGATCCTGCGGTTCATGGGGGACCTCCCGGAGCCACGAAACCCCCTCGACACCCCCGAGCGTAAGACCGTAATGTCAACAGTCACCGAGACCCTCTCAAAGACCTTCGCAAGATCTCGAGAGTACCAAGACCTGATGAACCACAGCATCGCCCAGAAATCCCTCATCCGAATGACCCTGAAGAGGCAAAATAAGCTGCAGGACCACATCAGACGCGGAATCCTCGAGGACGAGTACGTGAACGAGAGCTACGGGAATTGGCTGCAGACGCGCAGTACAAACCTCGAGAAACTGCACTTCGTGATCGGCCACGGGCTCCTTCGCCCGGAGCTCAGAGACGAAATTTACTGTCAGCTAGTGAAGCAGTTGACGAGTAATCCGAGCAAGGCGTCGCACGCGCGCGGCTGGATCCTCCTGTCGCTGTGCGTGGGTTGTTTCCCGCCCTCCGACCGCTTCATCAAGTACCTCCGCTCCTTCATACGCTCAGGCCCCCCGGGATACGCGCCCTACTGCGACCGGAGGCTCACGCGGACCCACAAGAACGGCGCAAGATCCCAACCCCCGAGTTGGCTGGAGCTCCAGGCGACGAAGAGCAAGAGCCCAATCCTCCTGGAGGTGACCTTCATGGACGGAGAGTCAAAGACAATCGAGGCCGACTCTGCCAGCACCTCCCAGGAGGTCGTGGAGGCGCTGGCGCGCAGCATAAACCTGCGCGACACCTTCGGCTTCTCCTTATTCATCACCCTCTACGACAAGGTCCTGTCCCTCGGCGCAGGGAGGGACCACGTGCTGGACGCAATCTGCCAGTGCGAGCAGTACGCCCGGGAGCAGGGGCAGTCTGAGCGCTCGGCGCCCTGGCGGCTGTTCCTGCGGAAAGAGGTGTTCGCCCCCTGGCACGACCCCACCCTCGACGGCGTCGCCACGAGCCTGATTTACCACCAGATCACGAGGGGCATCAAGCAGGGGGAGTACAGGTGCAGCAACGAGGGGGACATCGCGATGGTGGTGGCGCAGCAGCTGTACGTCGACCACCAGAAGAGAATGACTCCGGAGAACCTGAAGAGCGCGATGCCCCTGTACATCCCCAACCACCTCCTCCAGGGGGTGGTGCACGAGGCCCTGAAGAAGTGGCAGAAGCTGACGCTGAAGGCGTACGAGAGCAACGTCAACGTTATCCAAGGGGCGCCTGTCATCAGAGCGAAGGAGGACATCGTGATGTTCGCCAAGGTCACCTGGCCCATCCTCTTCTCGAGGTTCTACGAGACCCTGAAGACGTCGGGACCTGATTTGCCAACTGTCAACGTCATAATCGCTGTCAACTGGACTGGGATCTACTTCATTGACGACCAGGAGCGGGTGCTCCTGGAGATGTCGTTTCCCGAAGTGGCGGAGGTGACGGTCCAGAACTTCCAGGGGAACTCGAGGAACATCATCATAACGAGTGTGCAGAGGGAGGAGTGGGTGTTCCAGACGTGCGACGCTGAGGATCTCGCTTCACTCATAAATTTTCTGGTGGACGGCCTCAAGGAGCGCTCGGTCTACGCCGTCGCCACGCAGGAGTACATGAGCGACGTGACGGCTGGCCTGGGGGAGACCTCCTGCTTGTCGCTGAGGCGGGGAGACCTGGTGAAGCTGGTGGGCTGCAGGGGGCACTCCGTCATGACGTCGCAGTGGGGGTACGGGGAGGGGCTGGATGGGCTGCAGGGGGAGTTCCCCTCGGAGTGCGTCTACGTGATACCGACACTTGGGAGACCCCCACAGTCCGTCGTCGACGTCTTCAGGAGCGATTACACGACTAAGGGCACAATGGCGAGGAGGAGGGTCGAGAGGGCTGAGCAGAGGTCCCACTCCTTGAGGAAGTTCGCGCTGGAGCACTTCAGACAGAGCTTCAACGTCACCATCTCGAGGGGGTCGACGATATCCTCGGCCAAGGGGACCGTGCAGGAGACACTTTTCAAGCACACCAGGACCCCGATGAAGGCTGCGCTCCTGGCGAGGGTCTGCGAGGACCAGGAGTTGTCGCAGTTAGCAGTTGCCATCTTCACGAATATCCTGAGGTACATGGGGGATCTGCCCAGCAATCGCCAGCGCTTGGGGACCGAGTACACGGATCTGATATTCGCTCCTGCGCTGGAGCACTCGCACCTGAGGGATGAGGTCTACTGTCAGATCATCCGGCAACTGACGGAGAACAAGATTAGGCTGAGCGAGGAGAGGGGGTGGGAGCTGATGTGGCTGGCAACGGGTGTTATGTCGTGCTCTACGAATGTGCAGAAGGAAGTTGTGGCGTTCCTGGGGGCCTCCAGGACCCCCTTAGCTGTTGACTGCTTGAGCAGGCTGAACAGAACTTCGAAGTTTGGGAACAGGAAGTATCCTCCGTACATTCTCGAGGTGGAAGCCATCAGGTTCAAGAGTCTCCAGATTTTTCATAGGATTTATTTTCCTAATGACACTGACGAGGCCTTCGAGGTGCACTCGTCGACCAAGGCGGCGGACATCTGCGAGGAGATCGCGGAGAGAATGCAGCTCAGGAGCTGCGATGGGTTCAGTCTCTTCGTCAAAATCTCGGATAAGGTGTTCTCAGTACCGCATGAGTACTTCTTCTTTGATTTTGTTCATGAATTGATGGAGTGGATGAGGAAGTCGAGACCCTCGAAGTCGTCCGGCGTCACGCAGGTGCAGTACCAGATATTTTTTATGAAGAAGCTGTGGGTCAATTGCTATCCTGGGAGGGATGTCAACGCGGATGACATCTTCTACTTCCATCAGGAGTTGCCGAAGTATCTGAGGGGGTACCATAATTGCAGCAAGCAGGACGCGGTCAAGCTTGCTGCGCTGGTTTATCGGAGCAAGTTTGGAGAGGTGAAGGATGAAATGGCCCAGGTGCCGGATAAACTCAAGGAGTTCGTTCCTGCTGATCTGGTTCATGTGTACAGGCCCAGTGATTGGAAGAAACATATCTCCTCGGCGTACAGTCAGCAATCAGGTAATTTATAAGGCATTCACTGATTTTTAAGGAATGTAAGAATATTTATCGAAATAGCAGAAAGGAATAGGGATGGTGCGAAGAGGATTCGTTGCTCTCGGAGGACGTGAATTTAATCTGGGAGGACTTGAAATAGTATAACGATAAGTTGAATTTTGAAAGTGAAAATCTGAAATAAATTCTAAACGGAAGTTGATATGAATAAAAATATTTTACTTGAGTTCGTGCTCAATTGAGAGTTTAGGATTATTGATAATGATTAATCCATAGTGGCAAAATAACACAGAGTCTCATGGGAAAATTAAATTTTGGGGATTAGGGAAAATATTAAAATGTGGAGAAAAATCTAAAAAAATTAACAAAATGAATAAAAATTTTACGCCTAATACGAAAATTATCGTCAGTGTGAAACTTTTGTGATAAATAATTTATGTTTCTGGGTACCCCGAGTGTATAGGATGTCCTAGTGAAACGAGCAACTATTGATTAAGAAAATAATTGTAGAGAGCATTTGATGAATTAATTTTTTAGTCTCGTCAAACTTAGAATTCATGTAAGAAATGGACAAATACTTCTAAATTTTCGATTAGCCAAATAATTGTCAATCCTCCGAAGTCAGTTATTCCTCGATAAAATAATTCCGAATTTGGATATTTAATTGGTAGTTAATTTAATAGTTTAAAATTGATGAGTACTATTAACTATTGACTTCTTCAAAATTGAACTTTATTCAAAATTTATGATTGCCGATGGCTGTTTGTGAATACTAAAAAACACTCTGAAGTAATAATTTCGTATGTTGAAGTAATTCGTTATTGAGAGAATGTATTCATTACATTTAAGTTTAAGTGGCAATAAGTAGGACATTTGCATTGATTTTGGTGGAATTCATGAAGATTTATCTTTGTTTCTGTTAGGAATGAGTCAATACGACGCGAAACTTCAGTTCCTCCAGCACATTTACCAGTGGCCCACCTTCGGTTCAGCCTTTTTCGAAGTGAAACAATCCACAGAACCGAGTTTCCCTGAATTCTTGATAATAGGAATAAATAAAAACGGCGTGAGTGCGATTCACCCTCAAACGAAGGACATTCTCGGGATGTGGAGCTTCACAGAACTCTCCAACTGGTCCTCCGGGAACACTTACTTCCACATGACGATAGGGAACTTCATGAAGGGCCAGAAGATCCTCTGCGAGACTGCTCAAGGGTACAAGATGGATGATTTGATATCTTCGTACATCCACTACCTTAAGTCAACGTTGGAAAGTAAGGAGTCAGAGAGATTGTAATAAATTAACAAATATCGATTAACAAATTGCATGTTTCACTAAATTGTAATTATTATTAACACTGACGCATGAGTAGATTACGAATGTAGCATGTATTTTGAATGTTATTAAATATGTAGAGAAAACTTATCCTCATCGATTTCTCAATAATCTTTAAATTCTTGAATAGGTTTTTTTGACCGTTGTAATTATTTTCAAAATTGAGATGAAAACCGGTTGGCTAAGCGATCTTCAGCAATTTTATAAATGTAGAAATGAAGTTGAAGTTGAAGTTGAAGAACTCTTTGTGGTGGCCCTATCCTTAATCTTTAATTTCGAAAATGAATCGCAAATGCATTGTTCTACCTAAAATTTCAATTACTCCAGAATATTTACCAACGGTACCCCCTCGGTTCAGCGTTTTTTGAATTGAAACAATCGACAGAAACGAGTTTCCCTGAATTCAGTAGCGAAGTGTGGTAAAACGGTTTAAGTCTCATCTCCCGGTTGAGTTCTTGAAGAATATTTCCGAATCTAAGAGAGATAGCGAAATTTTCGTAATTACATTTGTTGTAGCTCTCAATCGACTCTACAAAAAAGTTTGTGACAAAAATTTTGCTATCTCCCTTAGATTCCGAGATATTCATTGGAAACTGGCTATTGGCTAAAAAAAATAAAAACTGTCATTATATTTTACTGAAAAGAATTATTATTGTTTTAAATAATTAATTTTTCAGTTTTATAATAATAATAATAATAATAATAATAATAATAATAATATTAATAATAATATTATTATTATTAATATTAATAATAATATTAATAATATTATTATTAAATATTATTATTATTATTATTATTATTATTATTATTATTATTATTATTATGCCACTTCACTACTCAATTCTTGATAAGAGGAATAAATAAGAACGGAATGAGTGTAATTGTAGTAAAATAACGAATGCATGTTTTATTATCTTTAATTATCATTAATACTGACAAATGAGTAGATTATGCACTTAGAATATATTCTGAACGTTCTTAATACGTATAAAAATTCTCTTTATCGACTTCTGGACTGTACTTCATTGCACTGCACGAAATTCGTAATTATCGATAAACTGGATTGACAATCGGTTGCTATTCCAAAACGTCCACCAGTCGATTTCCACTGTTCCAAGCTCCCTCAATTAGTTAGGTTCTGGTGGTAACAACCAAAGAGAACATTAGATCAATTTGGAAAACAGAATGTTCCCATCAGTTGTTACCTACCTCAATCGGTTTCACCTCCCCTGACGAGGCCATCGAAATCCCTTGGAATTACGAAGGGAATGTCAATCTCACTCGACGCCCGAGCAGGCCACCAGCGCTAGAAAATCACGAATAAATTAGTGTACCACCTCTCGAAATAAGTAGAGCAGGATTAAATCAATTGTCCACTTGGCGAGAATTTTATCAAACCAATTCTCAATTGACGCACACTTCTCGGAATCGTGTAATCGGAGGGGCTTACCCGTGGCGTGCGCTAATTCCACAAGTCATCTCGAGAGACTAGTGTCAGTTGGCCAGTTGCTTCCCTTTATAAACCACGGAATGACGTACCACTGTCATCGGTGATAACCGAATAGCTGTTGGAGGGTTAAAGAATAATGAGATGAAATGAATTGAACGTCAAACGATTTGCGGTGATAACCCGGTGGAGGAAATGTTTTTTCTCCGAATCTACTCTTCGATTAGTCGCGTCGGGAATTAAATTCTTCGGTTGAAAAATTATTGCGAACAAAAGAATCGATTGCGAAATAGAAAGAAAACTGCAAAACGAACGGTGGATTGGATTCCGAACTAAAATTTTACGAATAATTTGGTGCTAGCTCTAGGGTAATTAGTCGTGTTCGCTTGAACGCAGTAATTACGAAGGCCTTTGGTTCAATAATCCTGATGAGGCAAGTGCGAACAGACTAACAGACATACGTATTGGGGAAAATCTGCTGATAACCCCGTCACCAAGAACCCCGATTATTCTTAATATAGAATGCACACTCAGACCAACAAACTTATAAATTGGAGAAAACACTCGGATGAAATTGAATTGTTATTCTTTCTATCTTCTTCGGGTTTCTTCTCGCGTTCCACTCTTTTTCTTCCTATTGGGGGAGTATCAGTAGAAGATAATTCGTTGATAAGCCAGGCGTTTTTGTTGACAAAACACAGTGGCGTTTCCACTTGGGCTATCATGTGAATAAGTCTTCTTTTTTCCCTTCGTGATTCGTTTTAAAGCATGAATTGTTTTATTAGTTTTTCTTATGGAAATGGTGGAGAGGAAAAATTAAAAGATCGATGACTTGATGTCAATATTTATAAATTATTTATTGAAAGATGAATATGAGGTACTCCATGACAAATGAGTTAACGACTGACCCTCACCCTTTTGGAAATTGATCTCGATTTTTTTTACGATTTGGGGGGCTTTTTTCGTAAGGAATGCCCTTTGCGCTATTTCATATGTGATTTCATAAATTGCATAAATTTCATAATTTTTTTTTAACTACCTTTCAATTTTTTTTTAGATTTTTTCGACAGCCCATTGCGGGGATATGATTTTTTCTTTGTTTTTTCGTTTTTTTCAATAACTCTTATCCTCAAATTTTTCGTCCAAGTTTTATACCGTTTACACGGATATTTCGAGTAATTTTTTTCTTTCAATCCCTAGGTGTTCATAATACCGAACTTTCAAAAAAAAAGTGAAAAAATTTGGATTTTCAAAATTATGTCACGTTTTATTCACTGATTGAATTGATGAAAACAGTATCTGTGTTCAGATTCATCTCTGTCGTTGCTAAATATCCGAAAATATTGAGGGATGTTGGAGAAAATGAAAACAACATTTATCTAATTATCATTTTGCGCCGTTTCGCTAATTATTTCAGCCTCACCAGGCTCATCCCTCAATAAATGTGCAGCCTCATTAATGTCTAAACCAATTAAGTATGCACGTATGAAAATTTCCTATAGAATTCCAATACAATTTTCTAGCGAATTCGCTAGGTTTTCTATTGAATTTTTTCCTGCGTGTGAAGACATAGGCGTTGATGTCAGCAACCCAATAATTCCTCCCCACAGATCACAATATAACATCCCATAAAAAACAGTATCTTCTTTTTAATCGTCAATATATCCTTTAATAAAAAATCCAGTGTAACGTTTTTTGAAGCCAATCAATTCGTCGTATTGTGTCATTAGATTTTTTATAAATGATGATAGCATACATTAAAGATATCATACATCATACATACATCATATGTTATAATACATATATTACTCTATTATATATCATATATATGATATAAAAAAGTATAGAATATAATATAATATAGAATTATCGTAATATTTTTAACGTATATGCTATCATTATTTACAACACATCTTACAACACAATACGCCGAATAGATTGTCTTCAAAAAGCGGTACACTGGATGTATTATACATAAAAAAATACAATACATTCCTGAAACTTTTCCTTCGGAAAACTTAACTTCAGAAAGTTAATATAAAGAACAGACACGTCTGTCATGCTTATTCCTCATTGGTTTCAGTCGTCTGAGGTGGCAAATTTAATTCATGATTAATTTCATTTTGAGATTTTCAGTTATGATTGTTAGAATTACAGTGCGCTATAGCGCGCGTTCGGTTTTGTTTTTAAAAAGAGGAATACACAGTAAGCAGGTACCAACTATTCAAGCAAAAAATAATAATCCAGGCTTAAGGAAGACGATGGGCCTCGGGGAGTTTAGTCCTGTGCGTGCCGTCCATATTTCCGCACAGCCCAGTAATACTCCACCGTAATTCGCGATTAATCATAAGTGTGACACTATTCAACGAGTGGAACACTACGATAGGAACCTCTTGAATTTCAACGGTATTAACTCCTCCATAGCTAGTTAATTTGAACGACCACGAAAAGTCATCATCCTCGGGAACGAATGTCCCGTTGATCATTCTGCTGACAGCAAACTCTTCGTCATTAATTTTAAGAGAATAGCCATTCACGTTCGGGGAGAATTCGACGACGTCTTTACCCGAGAAGAATTTAACTCCCATTACGTTATTCACACTCTTGACGAATACTGCGAAGCTTTGCATAACGTAATCGCCAGTCGCCAATGTCCAATCGTCGGTCACCATGTAAGGAATCTCTCCCCCATCCGTTGTTAAAACAACTTTGGGACGCAGAGAACAGAGCCCTGCAACAAAGAACAACATTATCACGGGGTCCCACAGAATTGTTACAAGTTAAGGGGAGACTACTGTGAGTTCTAAAAGTCGCGGGCGATTGGAGTGAGATTTATCATCCATTGAAGATGGATTATATATTTAAAAACGAATAATTAGTACAAAAAATTAATTATTTATTGTTCGTTTCCTCTGACCACATGCCTCAAATGTTGAAAATAGTCCGGGGCCTTCAATTTTTCAGCTACAGAGACTTCTATTCTTTCAAAATGTTTGAAAAAACGTGTGCAAAAATAATTACGAATTAGTTTTTTGGAATTCGGCTCCTACACAGCTAATTCCGTTTTGTTTAAAATAAAAATTTGCACCATTCACGTACAATAGGCGAAAAAAGTATCCTCAAAATATTTAATATATATTCTCGATTCTTTCACAACCATTTTTCAAGCTATTTTACATGAATAGTGCCATTTTTTTATTAACAAAATAACGAAATTAGCTGCGTAGGAGTTAAATTTCAAACAACTGATTCATAATTGTTATTGCACATATTTAAAAAAAAATTGAAAAAAAAAAGAAACCTGTGGCTCAAAAATTGGAGGCCCTGAACTATTTTTAACATTTTAAGCGTCTGTGGCGCAAACGAGCAATAAACAATTAATTTTTTGGACTAATTATTCATTTGCAAACATACATAATCGATCTTCAATGTATAAGAAATCGCATTCCAATAGCCCGCGACTTTTAAAACTCATAGTAGCATTTTTTTTAAGGCCTTTCGAGTTCCCCTTTCGGGTCGCATTTCGGCACTCTATCCAACCCTATGCATGCGGCTGTGGATCTACACTGTACCGCATTCTCCCTCCTATACACGGAGAAAAAAATACATCGTAATTTTGTGAGAATCCTTCCAAAAATTAGTGTGCTGTTCACCAACGCTGGGACATAACAGGGAGTCATCGGAGAATTCGCATGTGGCGCACTAATTTTTACGGGAATCCCCCGAAAAAGTGACCGGAGTCCCACCAAAAATTAGGGTGCCACTTATGAATTTTTCGACGACCCCATGTTATGTCCCGGCGTTGGGGGACAGCACACTAATTTTTGGGAGATTTTTTTCTCAGTGTAGAACATAGGAGTAGCATGGGAAACCACAGGAAACGCATGCCGGTACAGGCGGTTACTCTATTAGCAACCTCCCGCTCTCCGGAGCCTTCCGTTGAAAAATTCGGTTCCACGGAGAATCCAACTCACAACCTTTCGCAAACTAGACTTGCGTCTAACCCACTCGGCCACCGACGTCGATACTCATAGTAATCTCCCCTTAAATCTATTTAAAAAACAAGAAAAACCTACTGATTTGATTATCTCTGTACTTCTGGAGGAACGTAAGAGGGAATCGCGTGTTGTCCAAAGGACTCATCCACAGATGTTTATCAGGACTCGGTCCGAACCCTTCAAGCCTCGGTGGATTGCGTTCAACCCCAATCCGACTGTCCTCTGACACCTCAGCACCCACGACATCCCAGCCCTGATGTGGCGTCGCGACGGACACATTCACATTGTCCAACGTCATCGGGAACTTGACAATCACCTTCATGGTCCCCTCGTCAGTATGTTCCGACGTGTACACCAGATGCGGGTAGAACAGCGCTTTGATTTTGTCCTCATAAGCGTGCAGAGCAGAGGAGATCGACTGAGGAACATTGGCGTGAGCCACGTTGATGGTGTACTTCCTGAGCGTGGTGAACCTCATGGCGTGCTCGAGGCAGCTCGTAGTCCTGGGGACGAGGTTCTCCGCATTGCTGTACAGGGGGTTGTCCACGTCAGCCTTGCAGTCTCCGCTGATGCTCTCCTGGATGAACTTCTTCTTCTGTTCCTCGGACAATTCCCCCTTCACGCCGATGGTGATCAAGGTCTGATCTCGCGAACACTCTGTGTCAGCTGTCTCCGTCATCGAGAACGTGAGCTTGCCGTAGGTCTCCTCCTTGGTGACGCCCACCCTGAGCGGATCGTCTGGAATACTGGGATACGACTTCTGCGCGTCAACGCAAACCACCAGATTCTTCTCGCCGGGGCTGGTCCTAGTCAGCTGCAAGCCCAGAGTGTTCACTCTGTGTTCGCGGTTCATGTCCAAGTCCATATTCACGTGCCAGGCGCGAGAAGTCTCGTTGGTGGTTGCGTCGAAAGCTTCGAGGTGCCCTCTGACGTTCAGCTTAATCCCCTTCAGGATGTGCAGGATTCCCTGAGCCGTCTCCCTCCTCTCCGCATTCCCCTTGGTCGACACCTTCACATACGACGTTGGGTACTTCGCGCTGGGTTCCAGCTTGTACATCACCCCGCAGCTCCCCATCCTCGGGGAGTTGACCAGGTTCCTTCCGGTCTGACGGAGTGCCAGGAGTTCGGCGATCAAGTCATACCCCAGAACGTTCTTACGCTCCTTGTACAACGATCTGAAGAAGTCCTTGTCGATGGCAATTGGGGTCAACCCCGTTTCGCAATCGAAGATTGAGTTCGAGAACTGGAGCCCAACGTCCTTCATATCGTGAGTGACCTCGTGATTCCGCTTGGCGGCGATCCCCCTGGTCACGGTCTCGTGGTGTTCGCAGCTCGGACAGGACTCCTTCAGGGCGCCATTGTCGTCCTCGCTGACAGTCGTGCAGTCCTTGGCGTGAGTGACCATCCCCTGTCTGGAATGTTTCGTCATGGGAAGGATGGGGAAAATACTCTCCAAAGTTTCCGTCTCGATGTTGAAGCCACTCGTGGATCGGAAGGAGAGCTGCACGTCCGTGGCGGTGGTCCTCCTGATCGAGTGCCAAGTATCGAGCAGGGGATTGTAAATCGACATGGAGTAGTCCCCGTGTCTCCACCCCTTGTAGGCAACGTCCCCCTTGAACCTCGGCGACATCGAATTATCCTTTTCGACCTGTCCGATGATCGAAGTCACCTCTGGAATCTTGCTCTCCATCAGAACAGGAAGACCCATCTCGCTCACGACGTGCTGCTCGTACATCTTGTCGTAGGAGACGAACTGCTGATTAACTTTCAAAGTTCTGCCTTCGAATTGCAAGAGAGACTCCAGCGAAGAGACCAAGTCCATGAGCTCTAGGTTCTTGTAAGAATTCGCGAAGACAACTCGACCTTTGTAGGAGACCACTGCGTCAACCTCGATGCTCTTCAGCTTGACAGCTCTGCTCGTTTCTTGGAGAATCCGTCTGACGTCTTCGTTGCTTATGAAGTGTGGTGGTCTGTAGTTTGCGAAAGGTGACATCAGCGAGGGATACAGAAAGATTTTCGTCACGATGAGTTGTATCTTCCAGAGGGTGACGCGTCGGCGTCCCTCCATGACTGAGGACTCGATGTTCAGCACTTCGGGGAGTGCGTTCCTGTCGCCCAAAATGTAGGACACGGAGAACTGATCTCCGTGGCCGTAGATCTCGTCCACAGCGTCGACCATGTAAGACGACGACAATGCGTAAGACACTGGGGTGTGAATTCTTGTGAAGCGCATGATCTTGGTTGCAAGCTCTCTCAGGTGCGTGCTGCAAGGGTCCACGGAGTTGGCGAGGCCCTTGAGGGTGGTGTAATGGTAGTTGTAGAGGTGCTCGTTCTTCTCGTAGACCATGAACCAGTAGATGTGCAGGATGTTGGTCATGGTTGGGGCTTGACGAATGAGGATGTCGTAGGCGGCTGTTCTGAGCTTCAGGGGGAGATTGCTGTCCGCCAGGATGGGCCAGAGGAGGTCGTGGGCGGCCTGGTAACTCGGGAGGGACTTCTCCACGGCCCAGATTGCGTGCAAGCGCACGTTTGTCTTAGAGTCCTCGTTCTCGAGGTCGTTGAACACCACTTCGCCGCGGACGAGGGGCGCTAGAAGGTGGAATACTTTGCCCACTTGGATGTTCCTCAGCGATGACAGAGCCGCCACTTTCTCGTGGTACTCCCCGTTGATTACCAGATTGTAGAAGATGTCGATGTAATCGTTCAGATCGGAGTTGTTCTCGGGGTCGGGGGTGTTTCGGAAGGTCCTGAAGACAAGACTTGCCAAATTCGGAAATGCGGCGCTTTTGACGTGGTGAGAGGTGACGTGTAACAAACTGTCGACTTGCGCCAGCGATTCTTTCGTTGGGTTTCTAACGCTCAGGGGCAGGTTTGCGAGCAGTTTTATTGCGGAGATGGTGTTGATGAGTCTGAGCGAGATGAGCTCGCTTGCGACGAGAAGCGATGCTTGCGTTCCGACGTGGGGTAACGCTTCCAAGAAAATGTTCTTCATTGTTTGCATCTTTGGACTTTGGGGGGTTTTGATCTCGGTGAACAGCATTCGAATGGAGGAACTTCCCATGAAACTCATGGTGTGGATAATTCTGTTGATGGTTTGGCCGCGTTTGAAGTCGGGCTCATTCGCCTCGAGGTGGTTCTCGTCGAGGTAGTCCGCTGCTTCGGCCAACATTTTCTTCACTTTTGAGGTGAGGTCCTCCTCCACGACGTGCCGACCTTGCGTGATATCCATACCGCCGTCGTGGGAGTAGGAGCCCGTGGGCCGGTGGTAGCTTATGTCTTTGATTAGAGGAAGCTTTGTGAGGTCCGCGGTGGGAGGGTCGAAGGCTGATGACTTGTCTTCTAGCAGGACGAAGGTTGCGCTGGAATTTTTGTAGAGCAGAGGATTTTTTTTATTTATTTGTGTAAAGACACAAGGGCTGGAGCCAGTAGAGCGTCGAATCATAGGGGGAAGGGGATATATGGATTCGTAAGTAAATTTCACATGATAATTTAGCATTAAAGTGTTTCATGCGGAAAAGGTAAATATTGACATTCATCTGGAATTCATATACCATGTTTATAATCAAAATGGAATTAACGGTGAATTTTCCTCATTTTTTTTAGATTTCCTTTTCAAATTATTAACGATTGACGTCGCGATCGTGATAACTTGAAAAGGAATTCTGAAAAAATTCTGGGAAAATTTATAGATAATTCATGAAACGCCTTAATGAAGTTTCATGGATTGCCGTTAAATCAGAGCGACTTCACAAACTGATATCATTTTTATTATGCAATTTTATTATGAAAAACAAATGAAAGAATTGCGGATAAACATACAAAATTTACGCCCAAGAATTTTTATAGAAAGATAAAAGTATATTGACTTTTATCTATCAAATATCTCTCAACAAAATGACATAGTAATGTTACATAATCTTCTGTAGAAAGAGCACAAAAAAAAGATTTTTTAAATAGGATTCTCATAGAACTTCAAGTGAATTCTTATAGAGTTGCAATAGAAATTCAATAGAATTTCTTAGAGAAAGCGCTAGGTTTTTCTATCCAAGATATCCAAGTACTTTGGCTTTTGTTATTGTTATGATAGAAAATTGATTGTCTATAAATTATTTATACAAAATGCTCGTAATTTTCCAAAAATGCATATTTAAAATTGTTTCATCGTCCTCCAAAGTAAACTCTTTAATTTTTTTTCAAGTTTTTAAAATGTTTTCTAACGGTTAAATATCAAGATTCAAATTTAGACCTGCACAGTTCAAATAATAAAATCATTGTAAAGTTTCCGGAAACTTGGGGTCAAATGGGGCTCAAGTGAAAGCTCTGATGTTCGACTGCAAAAGTAGAAAAACATTTCACTGGAATTCTTCAAGGAGATAGCTGAATGGAGACTTACTTGTTGAGGACGTAGTGAGCTTCGGACCGTCCTCTCCAAGGGAAGTAGTTGACACCTCCGTGAGCTATGAGAGACTTGATAAGAATGTCCTGACCTCGCTTCTCAGCTTGGAAAACCCGCCTGCTAGCCATGTTCACAGGTTTCTAGATTTGTAAAAATATCCCATAAAAATATTGAATTAAATTCCGAAGCCTGTGAGTGAATGAGATTCACCTCTGGAGGAAGATCACACGTTTCAGTCTCCGCGTGATTGAACGTATAAACATTGTAATTCGTGCAGTTCCTAGGGGATGAAAATTTCGTGATGATGAAGTTGTTACTCTCTTCGATGGCATTGGGGTCCTTGGCATGAACGTCGTAGCTGGTCCAGCAGTCTCCGTGGATTGTGTTCTGGTGGTAACAACCAAAGAGAACATGAAAGTAATTTGGTAACAGGGTGCTCCCGTCAGTCATTACCTACCTCTTTAGACATGAAGCTCTGGTGTTTGATTGGAGAGTCCAGGTTCATGCTGGGGAGGTCCAATTGCAGCATGGATGCAATGGCCAGTTTCATGTTTTTGGACCATCCGGGCTCCTCTGTCGATACTTTGACACCTTCCAACTGAAAGATTCAACGAATGAAGCTTTCGAAAAATCGATTTTGTGACGTGAGCTCAACAACAACGTGAGTGAGGACATTTCTTCGTGATTATGCATGAAAAAATTTAATAGATAAACCTAAATTCGTTAGAGAATTCTATTGATATACTCAATAGAAAATATTCAATAAAAAAAGTCAATAGAATATTCGATTTTTCTGAGTAATTTATTCTCCCGTGATATTTTCTACAAAATTTCCTCGGCTCAAATTTTCCAAGTTTTTTTAAATTCTATTTTTCGTTTCTTCTCGTCAAAAAAATTAAACAAAAAAACTTAGAAAATTTCGACGAGGAAATTCTGCAGAAAATATCTAAATAGAATAGCTTATGTAGAAAAATCAAATTCTATTGACTTTTTCGATTGAATATTTTCTATTGACTATTTCAATAGAATCAGCCAATAGGGGAGAGTAGGGCAAAACGGACCGCAGGGCAAAACGGACCACTGAGAGAAAATTGGTAATTTTTGNTGAAAGCTCTGATGTTCGACTGCAAAAGTAGAAAAACATTTCACTGGAATTCTTCAAGGAGATAGCTGAATGGAGACTTACTTGTTGAGGACGTAGTGAGCTTCGGACCGTCCTCTCCAAGGGAAGTAGTTGACACCTCCGTGAGCTATGAGAGACTTGATAAGAATGTCCTGACCTCGCTTCTCAGCTTGGAAAACCCGCCTGCTAGCCATGTTCACAGGTTTCTAGATTTGTAAAAATATCCCATAAAAATATTGAATTAAATTCCGAAGCCTGTGAGTGAATGAGATTCACCTCTGGAGGAAGATCACACGTTTCAGTCTCCGCGTGATTGAACGTATAAACATTGTAATTCGTGCAGTTCCTAGGGGATGAAAATTTCGTGATGATGAAGTTGTTACTCTCTTCGATGGCATTGGGGTCCTTGGCATGAACGTCGTAGCTGGTCCAGCAGTCTCCGTGGATTGTGTTCTGGTGGTAACAACCAAAGAGAACATGAAAGTAATTTGGTAACAGGGTGCTCCCGTCAGTCATTACCTACCTCTTTAGACATGAAGCTCTGGTGTTTGATTGGAGAGTCCAGGTTCATGCTGGGGAGGTCCAATTGCAGCATGGATGCAATGGCCAGTTTCATGTTTTTGGACCATCCGGGCTCCTCTGTCGATACTTTGACACCTTCCAACTGAAAGATTCAACGAATGAAGCTTTCGAAAAATCGATTTTGTGACGTGAGCTCAACAACAACGTGAGTGAGGACATTTCTTCGTGATTATGCATGAAAAAATTTAATAGATAAACCTAAATTCGTTAGAGAATTCTATTGATATACTCAATAGAAAATATTCAATAAAAAAAGTCAATAGAATATTCGATTTTTCTGAGTAATTTATTCTCCCGTGATATTTTCTACAAAATTTCCTCGGCTCAAATTTTCCAAGTTTTTTTAAATTCTATTTTTCGTTTCTTCTCGTCAAAAAAATTAAACAAAAAAACTTAGAAAATTTCGACGAGGAAATTCTGCAGAAAATATCTAAATAGAATAGCTTATGTAGAAAAATCAAATTCTATTGACTTTTTCGATTGAATATTTTCTATTGACTATTTCAATAGAATCAGCCAATAGGGGAGAGTAGGGCAAAACGGACCGCAGGGCAAAACGGACCACTGAGAGAAAATTGGTAATTTTTGTTGTTTTTTCTTTCCTTCAAATCAGGAACACTGAATGTGTTGAATTAAAACTGAGTTTCTTGGATCGTAACCGTCACAGGGGATTTATAGACAACAAGTGTCGTTGCACCGCAATTCGATCAGATTTGCTAATCACCTCAAACCACAAATGACTTTCAATTTTTGCAAAAATTATCAATTTTCTCCCAGTGATCCGTTTTGTCCTGTGGTCCGGTTTGCCCTAGTATATTTCGTCATTAGGCCGACAAAAATTTTCTGGCGAATATGAGTTTAATAAAAAACTAGTACAAAGTTCAAGAGAAATCGAATAGAATTTTCTAACGAATTCGCTAGATTTTTCCCTTAATTTTTTTCCTCCGTGCGGACTGGCCACTTTAGTAAAAAAACCCCATCGCAGCAGCCCGTGATTTTCAAGTTTCCGAGTTTGGAAAGTATGCGATACCAATGTACTGCAGAAGCAGTACAAAAATAATATGTTAAATCTCACCTGTCCATTCTCATCATAAACGATGAGGAACGGATCCTCAAGGATTTTCGCGGATTCCGGCAGCGCCCGGAACGCCTTGGTCTGTTCATAATGTTCCGCGAGACCATTATGCAGTCCCGTCTTGACACTTTTTAACGCTGCGACGAATGAATTTGGGTATTCAGGGTCACTGTCGACTGGTTTAACATTGAAATACCCATATATCCCAAATTGCGAGGCGTACGCTGCAGGCTCGATAATTCCTGCCTTGACATCTCCGTAATAGCTGTAAACTAGGCTCCTGTCACGTGGAAATGGACCTGTAATTATCCGCAATAATGAATACCCGCGGGAGATCACTACCGATCACTCATTTTGAACATCAAACTCACTTGGCCCTGCATTTGCAATCGCCAGACAGACCGCCAAAGCTAGAGAAACGTAAATCATCGAAATTAATGAATTGAGACGCACAATAGGTCGAAGTGGTCACGGTCAATTTTTCAATTACAACGTATTTTCCAGAACAATTTCAATTGACCGTACACATCTCCGAAGCGTGCGATGAGTGTGGGCTTACCGGTGGCGATCTTTATCCCGCAAGCCATCTCGAGAGACTGATGCCGGTCAACAGTCCTCATCCCTCTTTTATAAGTACGCCTCGATGTGTCACTCATAAACATTATGGAGTAGGCGAATCACTAATAAAACTAAGGTTGACGCGGAGATGTAAAATTCAACAGTGATAACCTGGTGATAAAAAAAAACCGGGGATTCCCCCTTGATAACCCAGCGGGACTGGCAATTCCATACGTCCGCGCAGTATCCCGTGGGAAAATATACGGTCAAGAAAATGAGCGCAGATAAAGTTTGAAGGAAAACAGAATTGTTTGTCGACACGGAAGAATTTTTTTACGCTCAGTTATCTGTTCTTTCGGATAAATTCGTGGAAGAGCGATGTTTACTCAGAGTCTAGCGCGTTTAGAGTCGTTTAGGAGTCATCAACTTTCCTTGATAAATCGGCTGCATAGTTAATGCTTGTTGTCATCAATCCATCAATTTCCTCGATGAACTATTTGAATAATTTTCCTGGTTAGTCCGAAATAGCGGATGAGTCAACACACAGAAAAATTTTAATGTAAATGACGGTTTGCTAAGCGTAATTTACGCTCAAAATAAAAACGTAAATTACGTTCAAACAAAGTGTCTTCTACGTTTCATTAAACGTATTTCACACTTGAGAAATCATAAATTACGATCTTAGTAGAAACGTATTTTTATTGTTATTATTTATTTACTGTATTTAGGATACAAAAGCCCGGTGCAGAGGGGGGAAAATGATACATAATACGAACAATGAGAAAGGCTGTACGTTATTTATGTTAGTTTACCTTATTTAATTATTTACTTCCTGAAGTTTTTGGGTTGGATCGCAAAAACCTAGAAGAATTATTAATATTAATCTGACCCCTGGTGGTTAGACAGTTTAATAAAAATTTATAAACATTCTTATTGTACACAAAACTGGAAGTGAATAGCAAGAAACTTAGCGCGTGAAATAGAAAAGTATTTTATTATCTTCGAGAAAAATACTGTATTTTACGCTTAAAATAACATTTTTTTCTTCGTCATTAATTTCGGATAAGTATACGTAAAATACCGAAAAAATCGTCGTAATTTACAGCGATTTTGAGCGTAATTTACAAATACAAAATCGTAAATTACGTTTATGTATTCGTAATTTGGGGCCATTTTGAGCGTAATTTACGGTTCAACGTCAAGCGTAAAATGCGCTTCAGAGAGCGTAAAAGACGACTTGTTAAGCGTAATTTACGTGTAGAATTTTCCGTGCGAGCCCTAATAGGCTTGAACAATCACCAGATGAATTGTTAGAAAATTGTTTGCATTTTGACACGTGCGAAGAAAATTTTGCGCTTTTTTTGCAATTAGAATGTTCAATAAGAAGAATATTATTGAGATTATTGAGATTTTTTCTGTAGATATTCCGCCGCTCAAATTTTCTGTTTTTTGAAGATTTTTTTAACTCATGAGAGAATAAAAATTAAGTGAAACACTTAGGAAATTCATGTCGAGGAATTTCTGTAGATAAAGTTTTAACGAAAGATGAAATTCTACTGATTTTTTTATATAATAGTTTCTATTGGGCATTTCCTATTACAAAAACGCGCAGTATAGCTATGTTCTGTGAAATTTTGTCGTGTGTGAAATTATAACTCTTCACAAGTGTTTTTATTGACGAGTTAGTTCATTTGTGGGGTTTTTAATCTTCGAAAAATCGGTAACTGTATGTAATTAGCATGCGAAATACGTGGAATATTCCAGTAGTATTATTTGACCCACTTGGAGATCTCAATACCTTAAATTTCAAAAGTGAGATAACGAATGTGTGATTGTTTCGTGTGTAGCAATGACTACGATATTCGAGGAAAAAACTAATCGAAATGATTTACGACTTCTGTGAATGAGTTGTCATTGCGTCATTTCTCCCTTCTCGGAATTTCGTTCTTCCGCCTGCTAATCTTGTGTTGTCCCAACCAATTTGATAGTAGCGCTATGGTGACAAGATCAACGGAAATTTATGAATTACGTGTTTGTTTTGGTAAAAATAAATTACCAATTCAATGACTTCGATGAGAAAATTGTCCAACACATATCTGATGCCTTCCTTTATGTCTTCAATTTGATATTTTAAATGCAAAGGCATTTATATCAAGCTCTCAGTGAAGGTATACTCTCATTAAATGAAATCCGTCAAAACGGTTCAAGTCGAGTTGCCTTTACCGGAGTTTTCGAGAAATATCTCCGAATCTAAGAGAGATAGCGAAATTTCCATAAGGACCTTTTTCGTAGCCCGTAGTACGGTCTTCAAAAAAGGTCCTGACAAAAATCTTGCCATCCCCCTTAGATTCCGAGATATTCAATGAAAACTGACGAATAAAATCGACTTGAACCGTTTTATCGCTTCGCCACAGATTTAGTTCTTCATTTTATTTTCAAAACTTTCATGATACAGTTGAGTTAGTAATTATTCATACAAATCATTTCTTCGATTACAAAAAACCCGTCACCCTAATTCTGCATGAAATAATTCTTAAGCTGCGCAAGAGCTTTACTGCGATGTGAAATTTCGTTCTTAACAGATTTCGGGAGTTCCGCGTACGTCTCAGTGTACCCATCCGGCTGGAATATGGCGTCCCACCCGAAGTCCCTCGGGCCTCTCGGTGGGACGATAGTCCCCGTGGTCCTCCCCTGGAAAATGATGACCTCGTCCTCCGGATTGCCCGAGGAATAAGCAAAAGTGCAGATTGCCTCTGCGGACTTGTCCTCCCAGGCGGCAAGCATGTCGTGGAGTCCCTCAGGCCCGAGTTTGTCCAGGAACCACTTGATGTAGGGACCTGGAAGACCCTTCATCGCGTTGAACCCCAAGCAAGTGTCCTCGACAATCACGGGACCGTTGACTATCGCCTGCGCTGCTTTGCACTTCGATATACTGATGTCTCTCGCTTCGCCTTGGTACTCGGGCAAGTCAATTTTCTGCTTCGCAACGGTGCGGGGGAAATTCTTCCCCAGAATTGCTACGATTTCCTCGAGTTTTTTAGCGTTACCCGTGACGAAAACGAGGGGCTTTGCCATGCTGAAAGATAATAAATCGATAGACTCGTTCATTTATTCCAAACGAGACTCGTCAACTATTATGACAGAGTTGAATAACGATAGCTAAATAACTAATAACTAAATAAACTAATAAACTAATTCTTTTCCGTAAAGTTGATTGACGATGAATGATTGTTTTGATTGTTAACTTTTTATTCGCCCTGCGATTGGTTGATGGATCAATCAGTGATTTCCATGACTACGAGGATGTTATTGTGCGTTACAGCGCTCACTTGAAGGCGGTCGCGCGCGACGGCGCGCATGATTGCCCAGTAAATTAATAAAGCTGAATAACTAAAATGATAGAGTTGAATATGACCAAATGAATTTTCGTTAATAGTTAACGAGATTTAATAGTTAATATTTAATAGTTATTAATATTTATTAGTAATTAGTATTAGTAATATTTAATATTTATTAGTTAATATTTAATAGTTATTATTTAATAGTTAATAGTTAACTAGAGATTTTTATCACTGAACTTTGGCGATAAATTCCCAAAAATTAGGGATGAATCCCTCATATCAGCGACATTACTCTAACAATTAGTGATGATGTCCAGAATAATTAATGATAATGCCATCGAAAATACGTGGCAAAATCACTGAATTTCAGGATTTTGCGGCTACGGAATTTCGCAATCGCGCATCCCTAATAATTGGGGATAAATTCCTGAATCGCTAGGTTTTCCCATTTAATTTTTCACATACGCGATTAATTTTGTAAGAATTATTTCGTAGTAATGTCGCTAAGACATTGAAATCAATAAAAAATGAATTACTTCGACGATCAGGGAAACTTTACGAACATTACATCATTTGAACAAGAAACCAATTTTGAATTCAGTAGCGAAGCGGTAAAACGGTGTAAGTCGACTTATCTCCCAGTCGAGTTTTTGAGGAATATTTCCGAATCTAAAGGAGATAGCGAAATTTTCGTAATCACATTTGTTGTAGCACTCAATCGGCTCTATAAAAAAGCTTATAACAAAAATTTTGCTATCTCCCTTAGATTCCGAGATACTCATTGAAAACTGGTCAATAGTCGAAATTGTTTTGTACCGTTTTACCACTTTGCTACTGAATTACATGTCGTGGAATTGAGATTGATTGAAAGCTCGCGGGGAGAGCATTGTTATTGAACTGTGTCGCCAGCTCTCGTGAATCTATCGCAACATCGCTGCCAGCGACGGATGAACAAACACGTGCTAAATTCGCCAAGTCAATTGAAAAAAAGACTTACATTGATTGTTCCGATTGTTCCGAATCTGCGACGGATGACTCTCGCATCGATGAGAGCGATGGAAATTAAAATAAAAGATAAATTATTAGAAGAACGGGTGGACGGAGCCGGGATCGGGAATCGACCGGTCGCTGGATTCAACAGCACCCTGCACTGCGCACAGTAGTTCGTAGATTTCCACTTTATTCACCGAGAAATATCAAGGGCTTTATGTATTTGAATTAGTTGCCACTATAATTTTATAAAAATGGTTGTTCGGTTTTGCTGATTTTGAGAATTACATCCACATAAAAAGTGGATGATATTCATGTTTATGTCTCCGCAACTCCCATTTAAACCAATGTTAAATTATTTCTTTTTCTTTTTTTTTCTTTTAAATTATTTCTTCAACGACGTCATTTTCCACTATATAGAGGTCATTTTGGGCTTGAAATGTACTCCATATCGGCAAAGTGGTACATTGTTAGAAAATTACAATATCATTTTCAATAATTACAAATGAACAAAATAATATAAAACGATAAATGATATACGATAGAACAAAATTATGTGCAAAATGACCATTTGCAAGCATTTTACTAATTGAATAATTCAATGTCCGCCAGATCCCACTGAGTAACACTAGGTATTTTTTTTACCCTGGCTGTTGGTTTAAAAATTTATGCGCCACAAGAGCGTCATTTACTGGTCACACCCCGCGATTTAAAAACTGGTGGTCTGAATCTAGATCTTCAGTTTTACCTACTCATCTATGTTCAGATGTTGGTTCTACCCCGCGGTCGCCACCGCCCCAGTGGCGCTAGTGTCCGGAAAACAATAGACACGAACTCCGAAGTGCATTCGACAATTTCCCCGATTCAACCCAGTTCTTCATCACCGCGCACCTGAGAATCTCCGAAAAAAGTGGCTGGACTGTCGAATGACTGCCGAACCCCTGCCCCAGCAGTCACCTCAATCCCCACTTCGCAGAGCACCCAAATCTACCAAGTAATCAAATATCTAACCTCAAACCACTAATTCACCATTGCTCACGGCGAACCACACCAGGAAACCGTGAAAATTCTCATCTCATAACCCATTTGTCCTCCGAATTACACTTCAAAGAAAAATCCTCTGAATTCATATAAAAAAAAATTGAGCCCCACGAATAGTGGAGAAATAACCAAACCCCTGAAATGAGCAGAGACATTATTAAGGATGGACACAGGAACAGGAATGACGATCGAGGCTCGAGAAACACCCATGACGATGTGCAACGTGCGATAGACGGCCTGAAGGACATTCCTGACGACGAGCTCCAGGAGTTTCTGGACGACGAGGATTTCAACATCGTGGACACCTGGGAGGGCGACGAGGAGCGCCCGGAGGACATCGGAGGTCAACGGAACATCAGGGACAGGGACAGGAGACACTCTAGGTAGAATTAATCCTTCAATGTTGCTGCAAGGCTGTAGATCAATTTTCCATGGGAATATTCGGTGTAATTTAATTCGTAGGGAATTATCTGTAACAGTTTGACACACTTCTGAATGTTATGGGGTAAAAGAACATAGTTTATCGTATTAGGGTGCCAGAATGTCATTCCTGAGACACATTGAAAAACTCAGAATAACATGGACCATATTTTATTCATTTCTAGTCCAAATATTACCATTTTCAACCCATTTCTGATTGAGTTATCTCATGTCTTAGCGTCTGGCTCTGGGCAAAAAAAACTTTAGTCAAAAGATTTTGTATTTGTGCGAAAGATGAGGGGCGATTGGTTCACAACTGGTTTTTGCATTCAAATATTTTGGATTTGAGACTAAAAAACTATTGATTAACTTAATTTAACTAGATTTAATTTGAGAAATCACTTTCTTTTCAGCACAACATTTTTTACATCTCAAAACAAACTTTTCACTTGAAAAAAATTTCCGCAGTGGATAGAATAAAAAATGAGAAAGTAATGCGGTTCTCACAGTACTAAAAAATCATAAACCATGCAATCCATAAAATGAAGAAGCTTCATAAAACGATAAATAACCAATGCAATCCGAAATATCAAAGTCTTAATTAAAGAATAACAAGAAAAATTATTATCACGGAACTAAAAATGGTAGATTGGAAAAGTGTGAAGAACAACATCTTGGCACATGTTAACACCAATACGACAACATTTCCCAAGTGTTGCTTTGTCCACATACCATTTATCGTGACCTCCTGCAAAATGAGAAAACCGCGCCATTCAATGTAAAAATCAGTCTAATGCATCAATGTATGAGTGATAACGAGGCTGCTTGTAGGGACAGAAGTAAGCGTGATCGTCGACGAGGATCGCCGGCAAGAGACCGCGCGGAGCGCGCCAGAAGAGAGGAGAGAAGACGTGAGGACGCGAGACGAGACCCAACCAAGAGTTCCAAGGACATTGAACGCGACAAAATGCGAACAAAACGCGATACGGACAGTAAAATGCTGGCCGAGAAGGAGAAAGCGATCAAGCACCTCCTGGACTCGGACACTATTGTGCCACCAGGTACCGAGGTGGAGGCCATTGAGACCGAGCGTCTCCTGGACCGAGGGATCAAGAGGAGCCGCGAGCGTCGTAGAACACTGGAGAGACACAGGAACAGCCCTGTGAAGCGAAGAAGTCGCTCGAGGATCAGGTTGAGCCCCTCTCATCGAGACAGAAGTCCCCTGGTTCCCTCTCCGGACACGAGGAGGAGGAGTTTGGATCGACGGAGGAGCTCGGAGCGTCGAAAGAGACCCAGCTGGGAGCGCAGGAGCCCCATCGACCGCAGGGACAGACGAGGCAGCCCCAGGAGGCGAGTGGAGGGACGGTGAGGGCTTCTTTCCAAAATTAATGTGAATTAAAATAATGCAGAGAAAAATACGATCGTCGTGTGAACAAGTAGTAAGCTGGGGAATGGCTGAGACGTACTTGGCTATACAGTAAACAAAATTCGGTGTTAATGTCTACAGGGGAGGGGTTGAATATTTCGGTTTTAAAATCAGCGTTTTTTGGGAGTTTAATTCACACTTGGCCCTGAGTCAAATTCTGGTGGGGAGTGGGTTTGGGGCTTCATGTTAAACTGGGGGGATTATCGTGGTCATGTTGACACCATGGCAGTGCCAATTTTCACTCCACTCATTACTTAACTACGGAATTAATATACTTGGTACATCCACCCCGATAAACGGAGTGGATTCAGAGTCGAAATTTACTCAAAATTTTTTACTGCACAGTAAAAAAAATTGGTGGTAATGTCTTCAGTGTGAGGGGTTAAATATTTCAGTGTTGGAATCAACACTTTTTGGGAGTTTAATTTACATTTGGTCCTGAGTCAAACCCCTTTAGAGTTTTCGACTAAATTATGTTGAAAAATAACTAACTGGAGAAAAACTCTTTGTAATCTTCGAGTCCCCCTATCTTGACAAAATTATCCCCTAAATCCAGCCCAGATTGCTATCGAGTTTGGGGATATTCTATATAAAATCTATATAAAAACAATGGCACGAAGATTACGAAATTACCATAAAAAAGTTTTGAATGGTGTTAGCTAGAAGTTTTCAATGATTTATCCAATAACATCATGATAAACGACAGTGTAAAACTTCCAGCGGTACCTGCGATGATTTTAGCGCCATTATATGCGATATCTTCACGAATACCAACTGCGCCAATCAAGCCAATGACCCTGCACACATCAACGACCGAACCGAACCCCTCCCTTGAATGACAAATAATGAATGAGGCTGAAAAATCAGACAAACAAAATCCCCCAAACTTCAATTGTATTTTTCCTGCATTTTTTTCATTCAAGCCACCAACAAATACCTGTAAACAACATTATAATCACAATTGTACACCCGAAATCATTGTAAATCGATGTAAAAGAAAGAACAAATAGTGGAAAAATTTCACAGTGACCTAAGGCCAGTCTTCCGACGAAGTAGATCCCGCGAGCGTCGCAGGACTCGTACCCCAGATCGTAAAAGAAGATTGAGTCGTTCACCAGTGCGTCGAGGCTCTCCACGTCGTCGGAGCTTCAGTAAATCGCCAGATCGTCGTAGGAAGCGTTCGCCCTTCATCAACGAGATAGCGAGACAGTTCAGGGACGAGGCACTCATGTCCACTGCTTCAGTTGATCAGTTCATCGGGCGTCCAGGACTGCTTCCCACACCTATGCATCCAGTACCACCGGCTAGTCAGCACTATCTTCCGATGATGGATCCTGTTGTGCCCATGGGAATGCCTGCACCAACTCCTGCTCCATTCATACCGTTCGACCCCTCAATTCCCCAGCCCATGAGCTTCGAGCCTGTACCCATGCATCAAGCGCCTATTGAATACAATGCAGCACCTGTGATGTACAATCAAGGAGCTCCAATCCCTCAAGAACGATTTGGACTGCTTCCTGTGCCGTCGCCTCAGCCAGTCCCTGCACCGGCGAATGTCGAGCCAGCCAGGTACAGCAAGACGTCGAAATCTCTCAGGAGGTCACCGTCACCGCGGAGGGAATTCTCTGATGGACACTATGAGCGCAAGAGGGAGAGAAGCCCTCGAGGCGCGTCGTCTCACAACGGGGGACTTGGCAGACCTGACAGGCTGAAGACACCTGAACCACCTGTTATCTCCAATTCCAAAGTAATATGCATTCTTTGATTGTTTTTTTTTTTGAGAGATGGAGATCAAAGGTGTAGAAGTAAGTAGTGGATTTTTGTAGCTTTCTTTAATTGGTTAACGTTTCCAGCCTTTTGAAAAAACCAGCTTGTCCAGCCTGCTGGAGGCGTCGGTCTCAGCCAAAGGTGCGAAATTTTCGGTGAATGTTTTATTGTTGGAAGGGGCGATCACTCGGGAATATGGTAGATGGTGAAGTCGATTTTAAAGGTTGTAAGATTTTGGAGATTCGGGATTTTTGGGAGTTGATTCAGTTTGATTTGAGTCGAGGGAGTTGAAAATAAAAATATTAATATTATGATATATCAGTCAAAGGAATTATTCAAAAGAATATAAAAGACGAGTGAGCTTTGATCATTCCATTCTGCAGTCAGGAATTAATTTCATGGTATATCGAATTTAAAGATTGGGAAGTTTAGAAGATGGTGGGGAATTTCTAGGCATTTGATTCACTTCGATTTGATTCAAGGGAGTTGAAAATAAAAATATTACGAAGTCGATATATTAGATTAGTTAAAGGAATATAAAAGACGAGTGAGTTTTGATCATTCCATTTTGCAGTTAGAAATTAATTACATGGTATATCGAATTGGAAGATTGGGAAGTTTAGAAGATGTTGGGGAATTTCTAGGCATTCAATTCACTTCGACTTGATTCAAGGAAATTAAAGATGAAAATACTATAAAGTCAAGACATTAGTCAAAGTAATATGACAGAGAAATTGTTTTCTATCACTCCAGTTTGCACTCCAAAATAAATAACACGATAACTCGCATTTCAAGAAATTGCGAAATTCGAAATTCTGAATTTCGTTTTTTTTTAACTTCATATTTATCATTGGATTGACAAATCACAAAAAAAGTCAGGATTGTACACTTGCAATTCCCTCTTCACTCCGATTTCCCGAGTGATCGTCCCTCGATTAAATCCTCCATAAAAACTAATCGTCAAATTTTTCGATATTCCATATTCAGACTCGGGATGTCCAGTTTTATACCCAGGTGAGCTCTCACTCCTTACCCCCTCTAAGTGACTGTGTGACCCCTTAACTCAGTGTAAACCCCAACAGCATGATTCCCCCTCACAAAGCCCTGAACCCCTCATGACCGGCTAATTTAAACCACAGGATTCAAGCCCGAAATTCTCCGAAACTGCGAAATGGCCCTGAGGAGCCTGCCCGAAGAGGACCCCCGCCTGAAGATGTCGGGCAGATTCTTCTACGATCCAACAGTGGAGGAGCCCAAAGTCATCAAGAAAGAGATGACCTCGAACTCTCTGCTGGTCCAACGAACAAAAAACAAGATAATCTGGGACGACGAGGAAGAGGAGAGGGAGAAACTTCCACCGAAGGCCGATATGTTCCAGAAGTACACGCAGACGGAGAGCCTGTTGGAGGAGAAGAGCACACAGACGAGCAACGAATCGATGGACTTTTGCGCTCAAGTGTGCCCGGGTGACTTCGAGCCTACGCCGCCCCCAGTGCGAGAGGAGAAGCGACCGATAATGGACCGTTTGGACTGGAGTGTTCGTGACAACTACGATTTCCCAGCTAAGAGGGACGCAGGGGATCTCCGCTGGAGTCTGAGCAACGCGAGATCGTGGAACTTGGGATCACCCTCTCGAGTGGATCGCGAGACGAGGACTCGGAGTCCGGAGAGGGGGCACGAGCCCCGAGACTCGAGGGCCTTTGATCTGTCACCGATACGATCGAGAGAGGAGTTCTCCCACCAGTCGGGCAGGGGCTTTGGCTCCAGGGAGAGAGACAGGAGAGGCTCGCCGACGTTCAGAAGGAGCATGGAGCGACAGGACGATTACGACAACAGGAGCGATCGCAGTCGTGGGGGGAGCCCCTCTGGTGTGGATGAGAGCGATGATATCGAGATTATTGAGGAGTCATTCTCCAGGGACAACTGGCGAGGGAGGGGAAAGTCCTTTGGGTCGTTGAAGGCCAGGAGCTCGAGGGCAAAGTTCTCCACTGGGGGGAGGCCGTACAGGGGACGTGGCAGTGGATTCCGGGGGAAATTCTAGAGGATGGGAGGTTCAGCTGGATGGTAATCACGGGGAGGAGTTGTTCGTGAATTAATGCATTGGATCGAGTGCATTGGTTTTATAAGTTTGTCAGACAATCTGAATTTTTTTGGAATTCTGATGCCGTCAGTGGAGTTTTTCTTTCATCAATTGAACAATCAACATCTTTTTGGGGAATTATGGTGCCATCAGTGAAGTATAATTTCCACCAGGACGATTACGAAAATAGAAGAAGAGTCTCTCTGTTCTGAATGAAAGCGATGATATTGAGATTAAGTCCAGTGGACGTGGCAGTGGATTCCGGGGGAAATTCTGGAGGATGGGAGGTTCAGCTGGATGTTAATCGTGGGGAGGAGCAGTCGTTCGTCAATTACTGCATTGGATCGAGTGCATTGGTAGTATAAGTTTGTCAAGCAATCAGAATTTTTTGGAATTTTAATGCCATCAGTGGAGTTTAAGTTCTTTCATCAATTAAACAATCAACATCTTTTTGGGGAATTATGGTGCCATCAGTGAAGTATAATTTCCACCAGGACGATTACGAAAATAGAAGAAGAGTCTCTCTGTTCTGAATGAAAGCGATGATATTGAGATTAAGTCCAGTGGACGTGGCAGTGGATTCCGGGGGAAATTCTGGAGGATGGGAGGTTCAGCTGGATGTTAATCGTGGGGAGGAGCAGTCGTTCGTCAATTACTGCATTGGATCGAGTGCATTGGTAGTATAAGTTTGTCAAGCAATCAGAATTTTTTGGAATTTTAATGCCATCAGTGGAGTTTAAGTTCTTTCATCAATTAAACAATCAACATCTTTTTGGGGAATTATGGTGCCATCAGTGAAGTATAATTTCCACCAGGACGATTACGAAAATAGAAGAAGAGTCTCTCTGTTCTGAATGAAAGCGATGATATTGAGATTAAGTCCAGTGGACGTGGCAGTGGATTCCGGGGGAAATTCTGGAGGATGGGAGGTTCAGCTGGATGTTAATCGTGGGGAGGAGCAGTCGTTCGTCAATTACTGCATTGGATCGAGTGCATTGGTAGTATAAGTTTGTCAAGCAATCAGAATTTTTTGGAATTTTAATGCCATCAGTGGAGTTTAAGTTCTTTCATCAATTAAACAATCAACATTTTTTTGGGGAATTATGGTGCCATCAGTGAAGTATAATTTACACCAGGATGATTACGACAACAGGAGTGATTGCAGTCGTGCGGAGAGCCCCTCTGATCTGGATGAAAGCGATGATATTGAGATTAAGTCCAGGGGACGTGGCAGTGAATTCCGGGGGAAATTCTAGAGGATGTAGAGGTTCATCCGGGTGTTGATCGTGGGGAGGAGCAGTCGTTCGTCAATTACTGCATTGGATCGAGTGCATTGAGTGTTATAAATTTGTCAAGCAATCAGAATTTTTTTTGGAAAGCTAATGCCATCAGTGAAGTTTAAGTTCTTTCATCAATTAAACAATCAACATCGTTTCTGTGGCATTATGATGCCACCAGTGAAATATAATTTCCACCAGGATGATTACGAAAATAGAAGAAGAGTTCCTCTGTTCTGAATGAAAGCGATGAGATATTGAGATTAAGTCCAGTAGACGTGGCAGTGGATTCCGGGGGAAATTTTGGAGGATGTGGAGGTTCATCTGGATATTAATCGTGGGGAGGAGCAGTCGTTCGTCAATTACTGTATTGGATCGAGTGCATTGAGTATTATAAGTTTGTCAAGCAATCGGAATTTTTTTTGGAATTCTAATGCCATCAGTGGAGTTTAATTTCTTTCATCAATCAAGCAGTAAACATCGTTGTTGTGGAATGCTGATGCCATCAGTGGAGGATTTTCGATGAAACATGACTCTGAAATGTGATCAGGTCTTTGAAATTGTGTTTTCTTTTTTTTTTTCTATGTGAAGTGGAATTATTTAGACTTGGAGGCAATTAATTACCGATTAATTTCTTCGCACTGAGTGCATGTACTGGCTTCATGCGAATGTGAAACCACGAGGATAATGTGAGATAATATTTGATGATAAGATTTATGTCTGGGCAATTTAACAATGAAGAAAACCATCCACGCAGTCTTACAGTTTTTTTATTCTCCCGAATAGTTTGAAAAATGGATAAACCCTGATGCAGTTTCATATATCGGCGCATACGATAAGAAAAAAAGAATTGGTGTTATCGCTGAGAACTTTGACGCATTATTGACGTCACAAGTTTTTCGTAGAAGCTGACGTTCGCAGAATTGTTTTTTTTTTTTTCGTTTTTAGTTTGTACTTCATTTCGACGCATTCGAGCGGTATCGCGTGTCGAGTTACAGTTGAAAGTGCGAGATATTTTTTTAGTGGTTTTTTTGGTACTTTGGGATTACTGAGCTGTTCATGGAGGCGGAACGGTTCGTATCATTCTAAGATTTTTTTTTCTATGAATTGAGATGGTTGTTAATAAAGTAATGACGAACGTTGACTGCGGTAGGTACTCATCTGCCCTTTTCCGGGTATATATACGCGCTCCAGCAAGTGCTGCGGCCTTGGGGACTCTCTTCGAAACACTTATGCTTACCAGTTGATCATGAAATTTCCCTCTTTACTAGAATAGAAGTGAATAGCGAGAAATTAGACTCTGAATCTAACAGTACATATTTTTCAATTGAAAAAATATAAACATGTACAAAGTTGAGAGAAGAAATGAAATAAAAAATCAGATTTTCTTGATCCAGAATTTAATCTAATTATTTCTTGCTGGATGCAAAATCCTATTGTAAAATTCCTGATTTTTAATGGAAAAAACGAATTATTCCAAAAATTGATTTGAAAAATTCCAGTTTGTCCCACTCCCCAATTCTATTATAAATTCAGAGAAATTAGATTTCTTCAATCAAAGATTGAAACCTTTCACTTCTCATTATTACAAAAAAACTCTTGAATTTCCAGATTTTTAAATGCAAAAAAATTAACCGTTTCAAAAACTTTATTTCAAAATCTTCGGGGCCATTCACTTCCCAAATCCCCCTATAATCTAGAAAAAGGAAAAATTTGATTTTTCCATAAAAAAATAAACCCTTTCATTTCTCATAATACAAAAAAAAATTATTCCAAAGCTATCGATGCTCTTCCCCCCAAACGTTCATTCTAAGATTAAAAGAAAATAAATAAAATACTTATATCTCCCATATGTAAAAAGAAATCCTTTTATTTAAAATTCTTGAATTTTCCAAAACAAAAAAAGCTTCTTAATCTAAAATAACTTTTCATTTCTCATGAATAACCTCAAGTTCCGGATTTTTATTCCAAAATAAACATTTTGGATATTAATTAATATTTAATTTAAAAAATTTCGGCGCCTCCCACTCCTCACACTTTCCTGCAATTCCTAAAATTATAGAATCAAAACTCATATATTTCCATCAAAAATTGAATCCCTCCAATTCCTGTAACTTAAACAACCGAATCCTCTGATCCTCTCTCCAACATTCACAACAAAAAAAAAACATTCTCCTAAACATCTCCAACCAAAACACCAATCCACCCCCGAAAAAACTTCAAAATCTCCCGCTCCCCCCTCTCCACTCTGAAGGTTGCCGCACCTGCCGCGATTGAATAATCGAATTTACGGCGCAAAACCCTCCGCAACGTAAAACCCAAAACCCCCCCGAGACCCCCTCCAGGCGCCAAACAAACCACCCCCCCACCCCCAAATATTCCCACCACCGAAAAAAAAACAATCCCTCCACCCCCGCGCGCTGAGACCCGTAAAAACCCCCCGTAATCCTTGTCGTCAAGCAAAGCACCTCAAAGTTGCCAGCCCTGCCCCCCGAAAACCGCCTCCCCAGCGCCAAACCTCACACCGCGGTTGTACTCCCAACTACCCTTCATGGATCTATCTCCATGTTAGCCCGAGAAAGCGATGCGGTATCCCCGCGGTTAGGGCGTGCAGTTCCTCGTGTCTCGTGCGCGCTCGTGGCATTTTTTAACCGCAATACAACAATTAAACTCTAAACAAACAAACAATAATTGCCCCCTCAAAGTGTCCCCCCCGAAGTGAACAAGTGACTAAAAAAAAAGCCCCCGGAGAGGCCCGGAGCCCCGAAAACCCAATCGCCAAGAAATAAAAATTGTTTGGGTGACGACGTTTTTTTTTCTCTCTCTCTCTCTCTTCCCCCCAACTAATTTTTTGTGTGTGGATTGCGCGCATTGGTTGTGTGTGGTGCGAAGGCAAGTTCGTCGGACCGTGTCGGCGACGCGGTACACGGAGGTGAATGCACGACGGCGGTGCTCCCCCCCCTCCCATATGTGTGAGTGTGTGCGCGCGCGAGAACGCCAGCGGAGCTGAAAACCGAAAAAACCCTCCCAACACCATCGAAAAAAAAGAAAAAAAAAACAATCCCCACAAAAATCGCTCCGCGAGGAGTCGAGCGGAGGGTGGTGATCCCCCAAGTGCAGGAAAATCCCGAGTGACAAACTCCGTCGTTGAAATTGTTGACGTTTGCTCCACATACCAGCAAAATAGCAACAACGCCTCCCTCCAAGCCTCCATTTCCCTCGCAACAGTGTTCCCGATAAATGCATCATTCATGCATCGCGGTTGCCGGAGGAAAACAAATACCCAGTGATTAAAATCGGAGTGACGAGTGCCCCAAAGTGACTGAAAAAATTACCGCAGGTGGGCCACGAGTTCGAGGAAGACGTCAGTGCAGTTTGCGGATAAACTGTCGCCTCGAAAGCTGTTAAAAAACCTGCTCCACGTTTTGTTGTTATTTTGCCGCGGTGCTTTTGACCCTTTGGCGGGCGAGTTCACTGGGAGCATTGCCGCGGGGGTGTTCGGTGCCTTCGTGCGTAGCGACGCAAGCGGTCACGATCGCCGTCATCCCCCTGTTGTCCCCCTCACGCAATATCGGCGACGATAAATCGAGGTGGGGAAAAAAAAAAAAATTGAGTGCCCAGTGCTGTTGGGAAAAGTGGGTTGACAGTGTGAAATAAGCCGAGTGCCTCGGTGCACCTGGTGAACAGCCAGAGGGAGGGTAAACACGGGTGAACGTTGTTGCTGACTCCGGGGACAGAGAGACGCGACATAACGTACCACGTGATTCGTTGTCAGGCAGAATAAACGTTGAGGCATGCTCTCGTTCCTTGATTGCATCGTCATAACCTGGCGCCGGGGTGTGTGACAGCAGTGAGGACAAGTGTTCTACCGGTGGGAGCAGAGGATTGATGATTGATACAACCTGGAGCATGATTTTCGGGCGCGTCGCGCGTATCGCACGTAATGTCGCCCCTGTCTCGGGTTTAATGGCTGTAAATCCGGGGATTTGAGACGGCGGCGGAGGGTCTCAGGGTGTTTTGGTGCTCGGATACACGTGCCAGTCGGGCCAACGGCTCTGGAGATTGTGCAGTGATTCTGTTGTTTTTGTGACGGGGCCTTTTGGGAGTTGTTCAGTGCGTGGTAACTAGTGATGTTCTGGTGACCTGTGTGGATTAAGTGGCCACGACGGGGAGAAGCTCTGGAGAGTTTGAGGTAATTTTTTGGGGCTCTGGGGGTTGAGGTTAGGTGGGAGGGGGCACTTTGTTTTGGGAGGCGGGGGCTTGGGGAGTGAATCGTCAATGAGGGACTGGGAACTCGCGGAGAATCTAACCTCACATCTGACAGGTCACGCCATTTTTCGCGCTATGGGGGGTTTTGGAGCGAGAGGTTTTCTCGGGATTTTTCAGTGTTCGAGGGGTT